TTTCCTCTTCTTTCTTCTGTTACACCCTCTCTTTAGAGCTTTCATACATTCCCCTCTCACCCTTGTTTCTCAATCCCGCGCATACACTCTCACTAAAATTTTATTTTTTTATACCCGGAATTATATTTTCTGTTTTTTTTTTTTAATTTGCAGGTCTGATGAATTGGATCGTGATTACTATTCCAATGTAATAAATTATAAGCATGGAATATTAGTGATTGAGCCTTTTATATTATATTCTTGCTCTGTCTTGTACATAGAGCTCTATCTGGATTTTTATCCTCTTGAATATATATGTTTATATATATATATATATATATATATATATATATATATATATATATATATATACACATATTGACAACTTTAATATTATCAATATATAAAATATATATATATATAACTAAAATAAATCCTAAAGATCCAGGAAAAATACCTAGGTTTCATTTTGGCGGATCTTCAGGGTAAGCTGAATCTTACCCTGAAGATCCGTTTAGGTGAAACCTAGATAAATTTTCCTGGATCTTTAGGATCTATTTTAGTTATTCTCGCTCTACTTACCGTATTGAGCACTCTACGTTTTAGTCTTACTACTCGCTTGTTTTTTTTTTCTTTGGACTAAGGACTTAAAGCACTTAACGATTTGTTTCGCCCTGCTCTGATGCTTTTTCTTCTTTCTTTTCTCATCAAATGTTTTTCTCGAGTAACGATTTGTTTTGACATATCTACAAGTTGTGCTATCCGATGGTTTTTCCAAACGCGTGTTACTTTTAGTATATATATATATATATATATATATATATATATATATATATATTCAAAATAAATCAGACATCTCTATCCCAATATTTCTGGCATCTAAAAGAAACGAATAAAACACCAAAAGTAATATGGAAAATAGTAAATAAAACAAGAACTTGTAAAACCTGGGATGACCCATGCCCTTTATGTCTACAGGAAAAACTACACATCATTAAATTTCTAAATAATGAAAAATTATTAAACTATAGGCAGGAGTTAACGGTTTTTTGCCGACATCAACAAACTTACGCATTAAATAATTAGCATTAAAAAAAAATCCCATAGCTAAGTAAAATTCTTAAAAGCTTAGCCAAATCATTAAATAGGTAAAAACACTTTTTGTAGTCGTCAAAAAACAAATTGAAATTCTGTGCAATACGATTTGTATATAAAACACCCACTTGAATAAACAAATAAATAAATAGATAATCAGATGGACAATAATAAAAGACAATTCTCCAGACACATAACGACTTGTAGGCGTGCCATAAAAATATCCCTCACTGGGAACTAACTAAAGGGTGATCGCAAACATTAAGCCTTGAAATAGATACCCTACCCAGCCTTAGCAAAACCTCTCAGAAGATGATGAATCTATTGATAAGAATTAACTCTCTGGCCACTTAACGAAGGAAAATAGTCTAGCCACTCCCACAATAACGAATTCTGTAACGGACCATGCCTATAAAGACACGTAAACCGAGAGATAGCTTATTCCTAAAATTTCGCTTGAGGATGAAACGGGACTAAACACCACAATTCAACTTAATTTTAATAATTATTTGGATGATCTCGTTTTTGAAACATGAGAACTTTTATGTAGCGAAGGAATCATATTTTTAAACAAAAAATATTATTATAATAAAGCTCTACTTCTTTATGGAGCACTGTCTTCTTAAAAATAAAAACAAAAATACTAAGGAACCCCGGATTATGCACCCAACGTGTTCTTTTCTATTTTCTGCATACCTACGCATTATATATATATATATATATATATATATATATATATATATATTATGAGTTAATGCGGTAAATTTTTTAACTCGTATCGCAACCTAGGGGACAATTTCTAATGTAAAAATTGCTTTAATACATTATACAATGATGATAAATATAATGAATAACACTAGTGTACCCGTGCCATCAAAAATGACGATAACTGTTAGAATTTTTTTAATACTCAGATGAAATGAAACAGGAGTTTAAAACAATGTACTAAGATTCAATTAGGCGGAGATCAAGAATTGGTAACCAAAATAAAGACAAATGAACCGTTTAACCAATCCATTCCCTTACTACTAAGTTTCGTAAAAAAGATTTATGCTTATATAACATTTATTACATAGCAAACAATTAAATTCATTAGCTGTATTACTTAACGAAGGTTCAGAATTCACAAGATAGGCAGGTGACACAGTATTGATAGCAAACACGGGAAGTAAACTGCTGTCATCAAGTAATTGATTAAGAAATAACAAAACAAGAGGTTACAGATAAATAGCGTATTGAACAGTAAATAGAACAGAAGTGTGTTTAGAAAGACTTAGGAGTGTGTGTCTGTTGACCAGCGTTCAGTCTCTATCACTTGATATTTACTAGCATCCCGCCACGAGGGTACATGTGACACAAGGACGAGTTTAACGTGGGTCATCTGAGCCCGTAGGCTCGGCCAAAGCATCCCCATAGAATCCGTATAAACGGGTTCGGGTCTGTTTACCTCCCCGGATGAGACTCTGCCCTTCGGCCCAGCTTCGTCCGGGTTCCTCTCTGCCTTTGGGCAGAGAGTTCGACAGGAGCTGCGAACAGTAACAACTTCGGTAGAACAGTCTATACCACTGTTAATATTTAACAGTCTTCCCCCCACGAGGGATGTATGTAGCACAAGGCCGAGTTTACCATGGGTTCTCCGAGCCCATAGGCTCGGCCAAAAATATTCCCGTAGAACCCGCATAAACGGGCCCGCAACTGCCTACCTTCCCGGACGAAAGTTTTTTCTCTTCGGCAAAGCCTCGTCCGCGTTCCTCTCTGGCCAAAGGCAGAGAGTTCGATAGGAGGCGCGAATAGTCACAGCCTCGGTAGAACAGTCTATATCACTGTTAATATTCAACAGTAGAGGGATGTATGTGGCACAAGGCCGAGTTTACCGTGGGTTCTCCGAGCCCGTAGGCTCGGCCAAAAATATTCCCTCAGAAGCCGCATAAACGGGTTCAAGGACTGTCTACCTCCCCGGACGAAACTTTAACCTTCGTCAAAGCCTCGTCCGGATTCCTCTCTGCCCAAAGCAGAGAGTTCGACAGGAGCTGCGAATAGTCACAGCCTCGATAGAACAGTCTATATCACTGTTTCTTCCGAAGCTTACTATTCCTACTACTTTATAGTAAGTGGAAGATTCCATAATAGACTCATTAGGGGGAAGACACTACAACATAAACTACCGGCACTCCTACAGAAGGTGAGAAGAAAGGACTAAGCACCAATAGTAAGAAAATGGAATTCATGGTTGTCAGCAAAATGCGAACTAAGAACTGAAGACTCCAAAGTCAAGCAAGTACAAAAATTGAAATCTCTAAGAATGGATTTAACACACGTTGGAATATGTGACACTGAAATCCGAAGATGCATTGGAATAGCAAAAGGTGCCTTCCAAAAGTTAAGCAAAGTATTGAGAATGTGAAAAAAAAATTTAAGAAACAAAGAAAAAAAATGGACTGTTATTTAATATCGGTCCTCTTAAATGGCAGTAAATACTGGACAATCTACTCATGGACAAAGAAGAGACATGAGGCAGCAGAAATGTGTTTCTACAGAAGGATGTTGAGAATACTATGAGCTGAACATGTAAACATTAGGAAAATGAAAATAAAAATAACACTTATACTTAGAATCAGAAAAAGACAGCTGACGTTTCTAAGGCACATAATGAGAAAAGAAGGCTTAGAAAATGTTGCGGATTCCGGGAATGGAATCCTGCACAAATAAATAAACAACGCCAGAAATTGAGATAGAAAAATAAGTGTATTAACGTAAGAATACAGACTTGAAGTGAAGATTAGTAGTCCAGGAATGCGGGTTAGTAGAAAGTATATGTACAAGTCTATGTAAGTAATATATATATATATATATATATATATATATATATATATATATATATATATATATATATGGACTCTTGTATAGCTCTCTGAGAACACCCTGTGTCTGTCTCCGTATCTATCAACCTGTCGCCACGTATCTCAACGTATCTCAACGAATCTCAACGTATCTCAACAGCAGGTATTCTCTTTGTCAGAATAAGTATACTTTGGACGAGTCCATCTTATGTAAAAAGGGGAGAACCCCACAACAAAAAATTTAACACTCGCATGAGATATCGAAGATAAGTGGGAGAGGGGAGAGCAGTGAATAACCTATCTAACGCGTTGGTGTGTATATGGTTGGCAGAACAAGGATTAGGAGAGATAACAAAAAGACAAACTTTGCTTAGAGCTACAAAGGAAAGAAAAGTTGTGGAGGGCTATGATCGTCCACGTCCTGAAGGGACATGGCACATACAAGAAGCAGAAACCACAGAATGGGTCTATACAATTAGTTCCCTTATTACTAATTTTCTTATTATAACTTGTTTTTATAAGGATTTCTTTAGGTGTTTTGCTTTCGGTATCAAACAGCTAAAATTAAAAAAAGACTTCAATCCATGCGTTGTAGACCTCAGAAGTTATTTCAGAACTGAAATCTTAAACAGAAGCTACTAATGAACTGCTTAGTCAATTAGTTCCTTGATTACTGTTTCTTGCGAACGTTTTGAAGATTTTCTTGCTTGTTTTTATATTCGATGTTTATTTTGAGATGGTTTTTATTTTTTTTATTCTGCTGAGCATTATATACAACTCTCCATGAACAAACACTGAGGTTGGTGAAAATTATTGGTCTTGAAACTTGATAACAGAATTACATAGAGCGTGACACGAAAGATATAAATAGATACACAACGGTAATTATTATATAAGGTTGATTATTATAAATATGTATTAGCTTAAGTCAATTTAACACACTTTTCACTATAGAGTTTGACACGTACGTGCAAATCTTCAGAATTTATGCGTTCAGTTGTATTTTCTGAAGAGAAACAGCAAATGTTTGACTTCAAAGATTGTTTTCTTATGACATTTAAATATAGTTGTCGAAACAGGCACATAATGAATTCCAGGGGTACCAAGTTTGTTTTTTTTTTTTAATTCATAAAAATGTGTTTCATTTACTTTGCTTCATACAAAAAAATATTCATTCAAAATGTTCAAAATTATTGATCTATTTAGACGTTACATCTCAGCATCTGTCACTTCATCCCCCCCGCCATCATGTAGCTTCGTTGTGTGTCTTCTAGAATTACTTCCATGGCAGTTGTTTCGAGGGTGCTTTGCTACGTCGACTTCATGAATTTAAGCGTTGAACTAGATTGGCAGATAGGTCTTATCGTTTTACTGCTCAAATTGCTAGATTCAACCGTAAGTTTTATTCTAATAGTTCCTTCTCTCGCCCTTGCCCCCGTGGAACTCTCTTCCGGCTTCTTGCTTTCCCATCAAATACGACCTTCGTGTAAAGTCACCTTCTGTCTTTTTAAATCCTTTTGATAATGTTGTTTATTAAAAATACCAAGGGAAGTATACAAGCTTCAGTCAATTTACCACCCTTTTAACTATAGAGTGTGTCACGGAAGATATACAGCGGTAATTATTATATAAGGTTGATTATTAAAATTACTAAGGGAAGTAACCGCTTATAAATATATACGCTTAAATTGATTTAGCACCTTTTTCACTGTAGAGTGTGACGCGGAAGATATAGATGAATAAATAAATACACAACGACAATTATTATATAATAGCGATGAAATTATAGTAAAGAATATGGTCGAATATAATATATAAATTTCTATATATCAGAATAATGTCGTTGAAATTTGAGTCATTGATTATGTGCTCATTCCCAGAAACTGTGACTAAGGTTCGATCAGCATAGTTGCAGAAGCACAAATGAAATAGATCTGCGGTCTATACAACATCAGGATAATATTCAGAAGCTGCTCCACCCTACGGAGAAATCCGTGCTGTGTCAAACCTAACTGGTATTTCTCTCTGTGGGGGTCGCTCCGAAATAATGTTTCCTATTTTATTATACTTGTCTATGATAACAGAGGTGGATGTTTGTTGTATGGTAGTACAAGTGGAACCTTCCCTCTAATAACCCATGATTTTCTTTTTTGAATTGCTACAGATATCAACCGATCGGCAGTAGGACAAAATGGCGTTTGAGATGAAATTGGGAATGAATTTGAATTCCTTCATGTTCATTGGAAAATTCACTTACTGATATTCATTGACGTTTGCTGAACGTTTACAGAGACCATACAGTGAATGTGAGCACAATTAGGTAAAAACTGAAAACAGTTTTTAGTAACTGAAAATTTGATATATCCAATGGTTCAAATTGCCCTTACTGTATCTGTTTTAGCGTCACAATTGGGCCAAGAAATACATAAAAATTAACTTTCCTAAAGTAACTTGCACAGATGAATCACGAGCCTGAGGTATAGGCCAAAGGATGGATTTTTTATCTGATACAAATTTCCTGTGGCTAAAAGAAAGCAGAAAGGAGGCGGCAGCGTGATGATATGGGCTGAAAATGTCGCTCAAACATTTCTTGGAAAATTCTAAGTCTATGATTGCTTGATTGATTGTGGTGCATGTATTCTGTTGGCATTTCCAGAAGACAACGCACTGGGTCACAAATTAAATATAGTGACATATAGATTCACAGAGCGTTGAAGTGGCATCCCCAACCACCGCATTTCAATGCTCTCGAGCACCTTTGAGGCGTGGTGGATTAGTTGGTGGATTTTGTTTAACAGAATATCGACCGCTATGGAAATCTAAATATTTTGAATACAAATTTTTTAACTATAGATAAGTTGTACTTTCAGGATAAACATTTTTTTTTAAGTATATAATTTATAGATGATAGAATGTATTGTAATGATATATATATATATATATATATATATATATATATATATATATATATATATATATATATATATATATATAGTTACACCACGGACTTCTAAAAAAAAAACAAAACGTATTTTAACTAACTTAAATACCTTATTTGAACTTAAATAGCCTAACTTATGACAGCCTAGAGCTTATGCGAATGAAAAGAAAACTATAATTTCCGTATATAAATAAAGTTTTTATGCAGTTTTAAAACATTGACACGTTCACTCATCACTCATTGACGAAGAAGAAGAAGAAGCAATAACTTAAGAGAAAAAAAATCAAGATGCGATTTGAAGAAGAAAAGACAATAATGTTGGGGGAAGAAAGCCAGAATTATAGACAAAAAAATTTAACAAATTTAAAAATCTCTTCAAAATCCAATATTTGCCCTACTTCGAAGGCATTTAATAAATTTAAGGATTAATTTAAGCATTTTGTAAAAGCCATGCTTATTTTTTGTTTAAAACATAATAAAACATTTTTTTCTTTTCTTATCAGAATGATCAGAGTGAATTATCCGAGATGCCGTGCCTTCATAATCACCATTACACTCATCCAACTCCTCTGCACTGTCTTCAGATTGACAACCAAACACTCTGAAATGCTCGTATTTGAGCTTCCGGCGCGAACGCCAAGCCGTATAGCATGCCGTTTCCAAATTTCTAGTAGAAGGAATTTCGTTACGGTGTTCTTTTTCTCTCATACGGTGCCCAACTGACCCTACTATACTGTGCTGTCAACAAAATCAAAAACAAACAACGCGCATGCGTGAAATTAAGAATATAAATTGGTGATAATTTACCCATCGCATCATACATTATGTATATATATATATATATATATATATATATATATATATATCAGGTCATCCCATAAGTTCTGTCCGAATTTTAACTGTTTGTTAAAATTAACGAAAGTTAGAGTATTTTATAATGTCTAATGGAGCTGAACATTATTTTTATGTTTAGATGCATTTAAACTGATCGAATTTTATTTCAGAGAACAATAAAATTAAATTTTGTTTGATTAAAACCCTGCTAACATGGAAGTACCCAAGAATCATTTGAGGCACATAATGCTTTATGAGTTCAAGAAAGGAAACTCAGCAGCCGAAGCGGCTAGAAACATTCATTCAGTTTATGGAGAGGAATGTGTGAATGAAAGAACTTGCAGAAGATGGTTTGCAAAATTCAGAGGTGGAGATTTCACCCTTGAAGATGAAGATCGAACCGGATGTCCAGTTGAGTGTGATGAAAAGCTTCTTGAAGCATCCCTTGAAGAAAATCCTGCTTTATCAGTTAAGGAATTGGCAGTGGTTCTCAGTTCAAACCATACAACTGTTCATCGTCATCTTCAACAACTTGGAAAAGTTCCTAAACTTGGAAAATGGGTGCCACATAAATTGTCTGAAAACAACCTCAAATCCCGAGTTCACATCTGCTCTTCTCTCCATTCTCGCCAACTTGTTTCACATTTTTTGGATAGACTTGTGACTGGCGACGAAAAATGGATCTTTTATCGAAATGTTAAGCGTTGTAGACAGTGGCTTGGTAAAGGGGAAGGACCCCAGCCACAGCTGAGAAGGGAACTTCATGGGCAAAAGGTTCTTCTTTCAATCTGGTGGGATCGCCAAGGAATAATCCACTTTGAATTCTTACCACCTAATGCAACAATTAATGCTCAAATATACTGTCAGCAATTAGAGCGTTTGAACCAAGCTTTGAGGAAAAAGGACCTAGTGAATCGAAAAGGAGTGATGTTTCATCAGGACAATGCGCGACCCCACACAGCAAGAATCACGTCACAAAAGATCGAAGAACTTGGTTGGAAGAAAATTCCTCATCCACCTTATTCTCCCGATCTTGCTCCTTCAGACTACCATTTGTTTCGTAGCTTACAGAATAATTTGGAAGAAACAGCTTTTAACTACACAGGAAGAGGTTAAAACTGACATTTGTGAATTCTTCGAATCAAAGCCAAAAGAATTTTACAGTAATGGAATTAGTAAGCTTGTTAATAAATGGAAGGAAGTCATAGATAATCAGGGAAAATACATTGTTGATTGAATCTGTAATTAAATGTAACATTTGGTCACTTGTTTTCTTTATTCAAAATTCGGACAGAACTTATGGGATGACCTGATATATATATATATATATATATATATATATATATATATATATATATATATATATATATATATATATATTCTCTTTCTACTCTTCTTCATTCCTTCCCTATCCTTTTTCTTTTACTTTCTATTTCATATATCGCATTTACCACATTCTTTTCTCTAGTTGTCTTTTTTCTCTATCTCTCTCTATCTTCCCCTCTTTCTTTATTTCCTTTTCTCTCGCTTTCTCTTCCCCCTCTCTCTCTCCCTCTCTTTCTCTCTTAGTTTCTTTCTCTCTATATATCTATATATCACTAATGTCGCCCTTTATTTCTTCGACTGATTTTTCTCCCTTCTCTTATTTCTCACTCTCTCTCTCTCTCTCTCTCTCTCTACTTATCTGTCTATTTCTCTGTCTGTCTGTCTGTCTCTACCTCTATTTCTCAATCTTTCTCTTCCTCTCTCTATTACTCTCCACATCTTTTAATACATATCTGTCACAATTACTCTCCCTACCTTCTTTTTTCTGTTCATTGTATGTCCATCTTTATTCAACCTCTCTCTCTCTCTCTCTCTATATATATATATATATATATATATATATATATATATATATATGAACACTTCTCAGTCGACAGCTACTTCAGTGTCCCCATCATCTATACTGAACTAGTCACCCAATCATAACAGGCTCGATTGTCGATATGTAAATAAACAGTAACCGAAGTCCTTCACTCCAAATGTCCGCTAAGAGGACAGCCCGTGTCGGCCGCCCGCCCACCAAGGGGCAGATTCTGATCAGGTTACCACTTGGAGAAGCCCTTTCTCTGTGATCTTACCGATGGAATACAGCTGTTAAAAAGCCCTTGCCCAACCCGAATTAACTCCACCACCATTGCCCTATGAAATTCTCTCATATCTACTCTTTTTATTTTTCATCTTTTCCTTGACCTTTCTTCTTCTTCTTCTTCTTCTTCTTCTTCTTCTTCTTCTTCTTCTTCTTACTCCTCTTCCCTCTCCTGCTCTTCCTCATCCTCCTACTCACTCTAGTGTATTTCTCTTTCCCTCCCCTGCTCATTTCCTCATCCTCCTACATCTTTTCTTTTTCTTTTTTTTTTATCTGCTATTTTATCTTTTTTTCGCCTTTTTCTTTTTATTTCTTCACTTTTTTATCTTTATCATTTCCTTTTCTTCTTTTTTCTTCTTCTCTCCTGCTCTTCCTCATCCTCCCTACATCTTTTCTTTTCTTTCCTTTCCTTTTTTTATCTTTTTTATTTTATCATTTCATTTTTTTTCTTTCTTAATCTTTTCTTTTCTTTTTCCTTTTTCTTTTTTCTATTTTATCTTCTTTTCACTTTTTCATCTTCTTCTATTTCTTCTTCTTTTCTTCCTTCTTTCTTCTTCCTCTTCTTCTTCTTCTTCTTCTTCTTCGTACTCCTCTTCCCTCTCCTGCTCTTCCTCATCCTCCTACTCACTCTAGTGTATTTCTCTTTCGCCTCCTTTTTATTTATTTCTTTTTATCTTTATCATTTCCATTCCTTCTTTTTCTTCTTCTAACTCCCTACATCTTTTCTTTTCTTTCCTTTTCTCTTTTATCTGCTATTTTATCTTCTTTTTCTGCTTCTTAACTTTTCATCTTAACTTCTACATCATTTTTTCTTTTCCTCTTTTCTTCTTTTCTCTTTTATCTGCTATTTTATCTTCTTTTTCTTTTTCTTTTTAATTTCTTTTTATCTTTTCATTTCCATCTTCTTTCTTTTCTTTATTTACTTTTTCACTATTTTATCTTCTTTTTCTGCTTCTTAACTTTTCATCTTCTTTCTATTTACTTCTTCACTTTATCATTTTTTCTTCTTCTTCTTCCTCTTCTTCTTCTTCTTCTTCCTCTTCTTCTTCTTCTTGCATGTTTTTATTTTCAAAATTCTGTTTCATTTTTTACTCCCTTTTATCCATTTCATTTCTCCTTCTTTTTTTTTTTCTGTCTACTTTCACTTTTGACTCCTGACTTTCTTCCTCTACTCTCTATATCATATCTCCAATCTTTATCTTCTTCGTCTCTTTTGATTAATTACCATATATTTCCCATGATACTCCAGTTTCTGTTTTTCTTTTCTTCATTTTGTTTCTTATTAATTTATTCTCCTTCTTCTCCCATTACCCTTCTCCTCTTTAGCGTCTGCTTATTTTTAACTTCCTAAATTTCTTCCTTTTTCTGACATCTTCATTATCAACGCGATTCATTCACTTTTCTCTCTTACTCATTAATCAGTTGTTTTTTTTTTCTACCATCTTTTCCGATTTCTTGCTTCTTGACTTTTTTGCACGCTATTCCTTCGAAAATTTTGGACGCTATTTCTTCGAGATTTTCCTCCAACGGGTAGATACACTACCAGTCTGTTTTTATTGTCTCCTCTTTCTTAAATTATCTTTATTTCTTTGTTCTTTCCTTTCCATTTCTTTTCTTCCTCTTTATTTTTTTCTGCTTCCATGTTTCTTTCTTTATCTTCTTTTTCTTTTTCTTTTACCGCTTCTGGCTTTCTTCCTCCAACATTATTGTCTTTTCTTCTTCAACTCTCTGGCATCTTGATTTTTTTCTCTCTTACGCTATTGCTTCTTCTTCTTCTTCTTCTTCTTCTGCCACAGTTATATCTTCTTCTTCTTCTCCTATAATTACAAGGAGGAGGAGGGGAAGAAGAAGAAGAAGAAGAAGAAGAAGAAGAAGAAGAGTGGGGACGTAAAGAGAAGAGAAGAATTAAAGAGAATTGAAAGGAGTGGTTATAGAAAAAGGAGGACGAAGAAACAAAACAATAACAAAAATGAAGAAGAAGAAGAAGAAGAAGAAGATCTGAGTTCTTATCGGCTTTACTTAATGTTTACAGCGGGAGTACTCTAAGAGAATTTGAATAGCATACATACGTGCAACTACTGTCGGAGACGTAACTGTAAAAACATTTGCTACAACTACGATATTGTATTGATGACGGATTCAAAAGTGAAACTTTAAGAACTATTAGACAAAGTACTCTAGGAAAGAAAGAAATAACCATTAACCTTAAAAAGACAAAATGTGTGGTTATCAGCATATATATATATACGATCCCGCACTCTGGTAAAATGGTCGGCTTCTTAAACAGCTCCAGAAAGTACCTGATACCTCCTACCATGCTCTATCTTTACAAGAGTCAGATCAGACCAAAAATACAGTACTTATATTTTTTATTCTAATGTTCACCTAACACAAGGCCCAAGAGCTACTCAAAATAGAGGGTTACTATATGGTGTTGTATGAGCGTACGTAAGGGCAAAAAGTGGAGTTCATTGGGCTATGCAGCAAATATAACGGTTACGCCTATACTTAATCAAGATCAAGATTGCGGTCAGCGCGGAAATCATCCTGGAGTTAGCAGTTTTTAGAATGATAGGAACTTAATTCTTGCTATAGGAATACAAAGAGAATGGGGAATATTCACCCTTGTGTACGAGGCATGACGGGTCCCAGTTGTAAAGGTCAGGGGTAGTGGCACTAGGGTATGTAGTTCGTCAGAACGCATGAGCGATAGATCAGTGAGAGGCTCGCAATGTTTCGTCAAGCGGAAAGGAGTTGTAGGATGGAAAATAATTCATCATCCACAAGGCCACGTAGGGGAGTTTGAAATCTATCAATACAGGCAAATGAGAACTGGGCAGCTGCATCCTAGATATGGCAAGCAGTACTCCAGTTTTGATCTGATCTGTCTCTTGTAAAGTTAGAGCATATCAGGAGGAGTCAGATACTTACTAGAGCGGTGCAATGAAGCAGCTGCCATAGCTGAACTGAAGCTGCTCAATCCTAACTCCCCAGACTTCATAGAGTCCAAAAGCGGCTTCGCGTCCCTGTGGATGTTAAGTTATTTTCCACCCTAAAGACTCTTTTCCCACAGACGGGACGTTGCAAACCTCTCGATACGCTATCACTTTTTTTTTCCAAGGGAAAAGTTCTCACGAGTTACTTTCCTTTATGCCACAATGTCAGAAAATCTGACAGAGAAATTTGAAATCTGTTAAAAATAGTGAAAAGTATTTTTGGGAAACTGAAAAAAGTATTAAAGTAACTAAAAACGTCGTAAGAAACAAAGAAAATAATCTAATATCTATTTTCAATATGACAGCGAATATGAGGACAATTTCCTCACATAAAATTATCCTGAACGCCGGTTCATCTAAATAATTTCGTACTAATTCAGGTGTCCCCCATGGCTCCAACGTTGGTCTTTTTTTCTTTCTTCTTTTTTAAGCGTTTTGCCCCAAGCAAGGCGGGAAGCCATTAGTGCGCAACGGGTTACAGAGAGTTGGAGCGAGAGCAAATAGGAATGATAGAGGAAAGGATGAAAATAAGGATAGGGGATTGATCAAGGCATCTGGAGACGTCGATTGGCATTACATTTGAATAGTTGGAGATTATAGCTATCAGGGAAACAGGAAAAGGAGAGGGAGTACCACAGGCGAGAAGTGCGAGACATGAAGCGTTTGGAGTAGAAGAGACGGCTAAATTGAACAGTTTCGACAGTTAAAGGGTGAGAGCGGGATGCCAGCCTAGTAGAACGCTTAAAGTCATGAAGTATGGGAACCAGCGAAAGTAGCTCATCGGAACAGTTACCGTGAAAGTATTTCTTTAAAAAAAAACAGAGGGAGGCTACGGCACGTCTGTGAGAGAGCGACTGCAGACGAGATGCCAGATCAGGGCCAATTACATTGCATATCCGTCTCGGGACCCCATCAAGAACCTTGAGACAAACAGAAGGGGCTCCAGCCCATATATGGCAGCAATACTCCATGCAAGGGCGAATGGTTGATTTGTAGATTTGAAGGATCGACTCCGGCGAGAAAAATTTCCTGGCGCGACACAGGAAGCCAACCCTCTGTGACACTATTTAGCGGTCGCGTGAAAATGAAAAGCGAGAAATAATTAAAGCGAGAAGAAGCTGAAATAATTAAGGCGAGAAGAAGCTGAAATAATTAAGGCGATAGGAAATTGACCGAGAAAGCTGAAGGCCACCCACAGAGAGAAAGTGAGAGAAGAGGAAAAGAATAAACCATTAACTATCTTTCGGAGATATCATTTGGTTTTGGGGAAAACACCTGTTTTATTGTCCAGACATGAACATGACAAAAGTTTGATACCAGGATAGTTAATTAGCGACAGAATGCGAATACGTCCAGTTAACCAGCCACTTGACGCTGTCGGAAATCTCGATTGATAAAGTCCAGGTGACATTCTGTTAAGATACAGATTAGGGACCACGCTACGAGTCGTGGGAGGTCTGCTCGAGGAAGAGAAAGAAAGAAGAAAAAGAAAAAAGAAGATTATTTTTTTTTCCTTTGAGCGATAATTGCAAACACCCACGCTGCTGAGCGCTCATTGGCTGAATGGTGGCGTGAGCCGTAGGCGAAGATAAATATGTGAGATACCAATATGAGAAAGGAAGAATTTGGGAGGACGATTCCCTTAAAGTAGAAAGTAATGGACTTCCAAAAATGGAAAGTAATAAATTTTCCTGTCCGAAAACAAAGAAAATCCTTATTGTGAATTTAGAATTATCAAGGAACCTCAAACCCCGACAAGCCCACCCCGGTTTTTGTCGGCGTCCATATAAGCAGAGTCGCAGCGAGTTATCCAGTTGAGTGTGAAGTTGAGTCAGAGAGAAGTTAGTTTCAGTTGAGCTGTGAGCTCTGAGACCCGCCTCGCAGGAAGCTGACTGAAGATCCACGCATCTCGACCTCAACTTCTACCCAAGAACAATTTATTTTTGAAGAACGACTTAGACTCACACCACCAAACAAGAATATCGCCTGAAGACACCAAAAACCAGTTTCTTGAAAAACAATTTAAGATGTTAAGACTCGCCTAACAAACACAAAGTGTCACGAATCCATATTAGCGGTTTGGGAGAAAGATGCATTCCTGTATTCAGCAACCAGATATAAAATATTGTTATTCTTTTTTTAACACATTTGAACTTTTCGAGTTGTTACTTTATTTTCTTTTACATATACTTGTGCGGTCTTACCTTTGCTCAGACTCGGCTTGCATTGCGGCCCGGCGACTGATTGATTTCGTCTACCTAAGATCAAATCACAACGTGGGTAGGTTAGACTAGAAATCAAAGCAGTTACTTCGGTAACCAGACGTTGGAGGCGAGCTGGGAACGACAAAGCTGATACCGAATCTAACCAGATTCCCATCCGAATCGGCCAAGGGTTAGAACGTCACATTTGGTGCCGCGACCAATACCAAGCCACATTGGTCGTCACAGGACAGGACGGCGACGGGGCAGAGAAGCCACGGGGTGACGTCACACCTCCCTGACCTTAGGTCAGCAGTCAATGTGAGACCGACCGAGCAGTCGCAAAGCAAAGAGGTGCTCTCGTGGAGTTGAGCAACAGACATTCTAATGGCGGGGGGGCAGGTATGATTCTCCGTGGTGAGCAAAATATAAAGCAGTTTTGTTTTTGAGGCATTAAAGTTAACCAACCAATTCCTGACCCAGTCCACAACCGATTGGAGGTCCTTTTCAAGACAAACGACCAGGTTAGTTTTGTCGCCGACACGAGATTTGGCAGTATTATTTATTCCTGCCTCAAAAAGGCAGGAATAAATAATACTGCCGTCCGTGTAGATGCCCACCTGGGAACCCATGACGTCAGAAAGATTGTTAATGAAGATAAGAAACAGAGTAGGGCCTAGGATGAAACCTTTGGGAACACCTGCGTTTGTGGGATAGAAGCCGGAGGAGAATCCGTCGAGAACGTCCTTCAATACACTTTACTTTGTTTTCAATTTTTATTAATGACCTTCCAGGTGATATCAGCTCTGAACTGGGTAACTACGCTGATGACACAACCATTTACTTATATCTCGATAGTAAAGCTGATCAGTTCGATAAAGTCAAATTGGCAGCTGATATCCAAAACGACCTTCATTTTATTGTTAATTGTGGCAAAGAATTAGATGTTAACTTTAATACCTCCAAAACTAAACTGTTCGCCACTAATCGTCTGGGAGACACCTCTCATCCTTTCATCATCATGGCTGATGATAGCCTCCAGCAAAGTAACGTTGCGTCTGCTCAGGTTAGCATTCATGGCTGATATGAAGTGGAAAAACTACATTTAATCCATTGCTAGGTCAGCTGCTAAGAAAGTTGGTTCACTGTGAAGTGTGAGACAATTTTTCTCTCCAGAATCTATATTATACATGCAAAAATCTACCATTCGTCCATGCTTAGAATATTGCTGCCACGTATATTCTGATGTTCCTGTTATTTATCTAGAGCTCCTTGATAAAATCCAAAGAAGAATCAGCAATATTATTGGTCTTGATCTGGCATCTTCACTTCAGTCACTTTCCTACTGACGCAAGGTTGTTTCGCTGATATTTACTATATTTTAGCCTCGTTTCGCTCTCTCATCAACACAAGTACGCTCTCTCTCTCTCTCTCTCTCTCTCTCTCTCTCTCTCTATCTATCTATCTATCTATCTCTTTCCTTCTCTTCTTGTTTCGCATTACTTTGTTTTTCTTTGTTTCTTTCTAAATTCTTCAATTTCTTCCTATTTCTTTCTCTCTTTCTCTTTATTGCTCTTTCTTTCTCTCTTTCACTTTCTCTCTTTCACTTTCTCTCTTTCACTTTCTCTCTTTCTGCGAATTTATTTCGCTTTTCGTTTTTCCTTTATTACATTCTCTCCTTCCTTGTATCGCATGAGTTCAGTTTTCCTCCCTTTCTTCCTTTCTGTCTTTCTTTCTTTCTTTCGCTTTATCTTATTCTTTCTTTCTTTCTTTCTTTCTTTCTTTCTTTCTTTTGCTTTATTCATTCTTCATTTCCTTTATTTATTTTACTCTTTCTTTTTTATCTACTCTCTTTTCCTTTATCTTTCTTTCTTTCGTTTGCTTTATCGTTTTAGATTTCGTTTACCCCTTTTTATCTTTTATTTGCCCCTCGGTTCTTTCTTTATCTCTTAATTTTTCTTTAACTTTCTTTTCACAATTTTATTTCTTCGTTTATATATATATATATATATATATATATATATATATATATATATATATATATATATATATCCTCGTGTGTGTGTGTGTCGAAAGAGAGAGAGAGAAAGTAAAAGGGAGAGATAAGAACTTTTACTTCAGTCAGTAGGCATTCTCAACATTTCTTTCCCAATTACAATGGCGGTCAGTTATTATAAAATCTGCAAGAATTTAGTATGTTATTGGCACCAACTACGCATGCGTATACTCTTGTGCGGATTTGTGTATCTGGTCCTGTTAAGGACATTTGCCTCATCCCACACTCAACACAACCCACCAATCCAGGCCATAAATTTCCCAACGGTTTAGACACATTTGTCAAGTGAACAGGCGTAATAATGTCTTCCCGCGTCCAAATATTTACTTCATGCCGCTGAACTCACCACTTGAGGGCGCTGTGCCCTCCCCGTGCAATCAGCGCCCTCTGTGATAAATATTTACTACGCTCGGCGCTCTATTACGATGGCTTATCGCAAGCACCGTTTACAGTGACGAGTTCCAACACATATAAATGCATATGAGGCTTGTTTTTTTACCGCGAAGTGCTGCTTACTAAATGAAAAGAAAAAGAGACTGTTTTATTTCATTTTGACGTGATTTCTTTTTATTCGCAAGAGTTGGGGTACTGCAGTAGCTTATCTAATAAAGACGCTTCCACTTTGACCAGCTATTAAAACTGATTACTTGCTGAGAACCATTCAGGTGTTCAATACCAGATAACAACCAAGATTCCGGTGAGAGATTTTTTTTAATACTGGCGAACGCTACCCAACCATATATTGACGCTATACAATCTTCCTATCATTATAAAATATTTCATTCTCATAATTTATTAATATTGCTGCCATATATGGTCTGGAGCCCCTTCTGTTTACCTCGGGGTTCTTGATAAGATCCAGAGGCGGATATGCAATATAATTGGCCCTGTTTTGGCATCTCGTCTACAGTCGCTTTCTCACAGACGTGCCGTCGCCTCTCTCTGTTTTTTTACAAATACTTTCATGGCAATTGTTCCGAGGAGCTGCATTCACTGGTTCCCAGACTTCATGAATTCAAGCGCCCTACGAGGCTGGCATCCCTCTCTCACCCTTTCACTGTCGAAACTATTAAATGTAGCCGTCTCTTCTACTCCAATAGCTTCATATCTCGCACCTCTCGTCTGTGGAACTCCCTTCCTTATTCCAGTTTCCCTGAGATCTATAATCTCCAACTATTCAAATGTAATGTCAATCGACATCTCCAGTTGTCTTGATCTACCCACTATCCCACTCCTCATCCTTTCTTCTATCACTCCTATGTGATCTTGCTCCAAATCTTCTGTAACTCCTTGCGTCCTAGTGGCTTCCCGCCTTGCTTGGGGTGAAACGCTTAAAAAAAATATCTTTTTTATCACTTTAAACGCTGTTTTAGTGGATACACATATTTGAGTAGCCGCTCCGTTTATTTATTAAACGGTATATTTGTCTATTTTCGTCTTCCGGCATGGATATTCGTTAAATCTTTTTAAAGAAAAATAAGCGCCCTCCTACAGGATTCGAACCCACGTCTCACTTGTCATGAGAAATCATCGTTAGATTCGACGTGCTTATACCGACTCGGTCACGAAGGGGAATTGCCGATCAAGGAAGTCTGAACAGTGCCTTTAAACGAAATCATGAACTCTTGAAATATTTATCTATATGACTCACTCGATAGCTTAACAGTAGCGAATTTTCACTCAGACAAATTTCGATGTTGAGAAAAAGTTTTGAATATTTCATTCTAAAGCAAGCAAATATACCCGACAAAAAGTTGGCGCTTCACGGTATTTTTGACATAATCGTAACCAACGTTGCAATCGTTTATTTATAAAATCTTTGATACTCTTTTCACATAATTATTTGTAGCCATACTTTATCGAAAGTTTCAGCATTTTTTATCAATGTAACTGTTACCCTTACATTATTAAAACTTAAGATATAAAATCAATAAGAGAAGGCGGAAGGGTTTTTTTTTTCGGTCAAATGTTATACAAGGCTCGAGGGTTTAGAGAGTTTTAAGGGGTAGTTTATATGGATAAGAAAGGGTTGACTAGTAATGTTCTGTAGTGATCGGAGAAACATTTTGTTTGTTCTATAGGGCAGTGGGCTCAAGAAGCTGTTTGAGTGGCTACGATGGAGAACGGAGGAAATGTTGGTGGTTTGCTACCATGTAAGTGGCATGGAGAGTTACAGTTGAAACCAGAAGATGCAGTTCGTCCGAGCACTTTCCACATATCGCCTGTGGGAGAGAGATTGGAGTGTAGAAAATACTTCTCTCCCAAAGGAATATAGACGATTTAAACTCTATCAAGACTTGGGATCTGGACAGGTTAAACTATCGGCCTGTGATCGGAGAGGATAGCATTCTCTACTTACTTTATGTTTTGTTGGATGATCGAGGGCAGTGGTTATCAAAAACCGAAAGAACTGGTCTTCCGAATTGGATTTCAATCTAATTTCCAACAATCGATGAATTATTTTTACGACTTTTTAACTAACTAAATTAGATGCTGAAGGCAAGGGAGATAACTGTGTGAAAATACACAAGTACAAATCATTGACAAATGAAACCCGACTCTTGACATTAAAAGAATTTTTGGAGATAGGAGATAAAGAGGTTTTAAATATCTCTATGAATATTATGGATGGGCATGGTAAGACTCTTACTCTGGTGGGAAATTTTTAAAAAAAATTACAATTATTAAATGACGTAAGTAGTAATAATAATAATACACAATGCAAAAGGACAAAACAACTTGACAAAACCAGAAGATGCCAAACGATTCATCAAATTCTAAATACATTTCTGTTGGGCTCTTAAAAACAATTATAATTATCGATTCGCCTGTGGAAAGAAGCTAAGAAGGAGGCAATTCATAGGCGTCACTAGACATAGTTCAGTTTTATAAACTGAGATTCAAAAAGTATATAAATCTCGTATTTTCATAAAAAGTTCAAAATCAGGGTTACTACCGGCTAATTTTTTAAACTTTGACAAATAACAATCGAAAGACTGTATATCTCTCTGAATTTGTAGGGTCCGTTGGACTTTAGCTCTTTACTTTTCCAACTTTTTTTACTTCTTTCGTCGTCGTCGACATCGTCGACTTTTAGTTTTTCTTTGTTCAAAGCCTATAAACATTATCTGTCATTCGCTCTTCAGACAAATCAGACTTAAATAGCCACAAATCGGATCCAAATTGAGCCGAATATGCTTTATGGGTGTAACCTACTTTCCCAATTGACTAAAAAATCCCAAAATGTATGTTTTGACGCCAGGTCGGAAACTTTATTTGAGTGAGTTTTCAGACTAGAAATTAAGATTTTGGCGTTTTTTTTTCACATATATACAAAAAATGATCGCCATTTAGTAAACTTTATTTTAACATTTTTTTTAAAGAAATGTTTAAGCCCTTTTAAGCCCTTCGCCCAAAAGAAAGTGTAATAAACAAACCTAGTCTATTGTTTAATTTTTCTATTTACCATTTAATATTTTTATATAATTTTGTATTTCTGTTTTATTATATATTTTTTTTATATTATAGACGGGATTAAAAGGAGACAAGGAATAGCTTACTAGATTTTGACATTCAATAAAAAGTAAAAAGTTATTTTGTAGTGGGCTTTCTTAATTCCTAGCGGAATAAATTGTCTGAGAAATTAAATTAATTTGAAAAACACTCATTTAATACGACTGATGTTTTCGCCTTATCCTGAAACAAGAAAAATCAGATTATATTTTTTCAACAGAAGGAAAGAACCCATGATAAGAATCTGTTCGATTCTCCGTCGAATATCGGGGTATGCCAGGGCCGAGACTTTGTCAAGATAACTAAAGCACAATAGACGCAACTATCACAATTGGAACTAATTTGCAGTGTAACACCCGCGCTCAGTTCGCATTAAAAATTTCCAAAATACATACATTTATGTGTAATTGTACATGTTCCATTCGATTCTGGCTTGATACATTTGATAAAATCTACCGTTGTGGAGTTATCGACAGTAAAAGTTCGGATTCATTCGCGTCGCGGGCAGTAATTACTGGCGTTGTTTGCATACATTCACTGCAGAATAGCTATCAGTGCAGGTATCACTGCGCAAACTTAACGTGTCTACGTAAATAGTTCTCGTGCGCAGTAATTGAGACAAATTTAGACAAGAAAGATCAGTTCCGAGCTTAGCTTTCCGTAGTCTTCCGTGTTTACCTTTCCGCGCTTAGCTTTCCACAGCGAATGCATGCAAACAACACGAGTAATGGCTGCCACCAACGACATTCTACGTATATTGTCCTTTTTCTTTCCAATTTCGCTAAAAACTTCCTCGTTATTCACACCTTCAGTCCATGGTATTCTCAGAATCCTTCTGAAGAACTACATTCATGTTGCCTCTTCTCCATTTGTGAGGAGATTGAGCAATCACTGCCAGAGGAGGAATTTGAAATCGTCAGGTTGTGGGAAGTCTATCAATTAAACCCAGAAAACCCTACTTGCTCTGTAAACTTCAGTAACAACACCTAGCGCCATGATAAATGGGTAACCGCTTGAAATATCAGGTGCTGTAAGCGTGGATGTGCGGGTGGTGTAACAGATAATGGCTCGAAATTGTTAATCGGAGAGCCGAGTTCCAATTTCATTTTGGTTCGTTATATTCACGCAGAAATCCCCATGGGAAAGATATAAAACCTCTCTTCTCCTTTCCGCTATGGATTAATTAATAAGACCTGTATTACTAAGCCATTAATATCTCAAAAAGGGAATTCTTGTAATCTATAAATATTTTCTGACATTAAATGACCTGCAAAGAGTTTGATAAACAGTAGAAAAAATTCCAACCAAATTTGCGTGATGGTTTGT